GGGGAGGGGGCGGCCGCTTCACCGTGGGGGGCCCTGGGGGGGGGTTGGGGGGAGCTGGGGGCTTCTCCATCTTGAAGTGGAATTGAAGGAAGAACTGGGATGGGGAGAAAAGCAAAGGGAACAATTAATCCTCAGGACAACTCTGCCATCACGGAGCACAGCTGTGCTTCTCCAGGGATGCAGCTGGGACCTCTCCTGGCCCCTCAACCCCATAGGCCATGGTTCCCTTCCACCCTGGCACCAGTCAGAACTTGCACCACTCCTGTCCAGTGCTTTAACCCCCCTGAAAGCCCTTCCAAGCACTAAGCTCTCCATGACAGGGTCTGTGTACCCAGCTATGGGTTTGTCCCTGCTCTCCCATCCACCCAGGCCATGGGTGCCCTGCCAGTGGGTGCAGGAAACAGAGAGGAGCCTCTGGGCTACACCTTCAGACACCTCTGTGCCTGCTGACATCCCAGGATTCTACCTGCCAGCTTGAATTCCCACAAAGATCAGACACAGGAGAATTATTTTGTCAAGAGAAGTCACCACAGTGACATTGAAAGGCTAGAGATTTGAGCACTAAAGCCAGCAGGAGCATCACTGATGCTCACCCCCCTGCTCTGCCTTTCCCCCCAAGCTGCTCTGCCCTCCTGCTCCCTCTCCAACCCTGCAGCAAAACCCTGCACTGCTCCAGCTACCTGTTTGGTTTCCCTGTTCCAGTGGGTCCAAAACTTCCCTTCTGCTTTGTCGATTTCTCTGCTTGGCACCTGCAAGAAAAAAGAACAAGGAGTTATTATTAGCACCACCAGATTAGCTCAAAGGCCCTTTTTTAGCACCAGAGCCTGCAAGATAAGCACAGTTATTCCAGGCCTTTGTGAGATGCACAAGTCTCGGATGTTATTAGATAGAGATGGGGGCAGGAAAGAATTAAGTTACCTCCCTAGTGGTCAAGGACAAGTGTCCTGGCAAAAAAACCTTTTTTTCTGCACGAAGGCTGAGGAGCAAAGCCCAGGAGGCTCCTTTCTGTGCCAGACCCTGAGAAGTCAGCAGCTCTCCAGAGCTCAGCACACAGCCTAGTTTTCATGCCTGAGTCCTCTGCTAATCCTCAGCAGGGTTTAATGACTTCCAGTTATGTCTTCTTGACCCCCCCCTTTACACTCCATTAACCCCCTGAAGGCTAGAACAGACATGTATAGTGATGCTCCCTGGAACTAATGTCTTGGAAAAAAATGGGAACTTTCCCAATAATCAGTTAATCTCAAATCAGCATAGAATCATGGGATGGTGAAGGTTGGAAGGGATCTTAAAGAACATCAGGTTCCAACCCCCCTGCATGGGCAGGGACACCTCCCACCAGCCCAGGTTGCTCCAAGCCCCATCCAACCTGCCCTTCAACACTGCCAGGGATGGGGCAGCCACAGCTTCCCTGGGCAACCTGGGCCAGGCTCTCACCACCCTCACACTCCACAATTCCCTCCTCATGTCTCACCTCAATCTCCCTCTGCCACTTTTCATCCATCCCCCCTTGTCCTCTCCCTCCCTGCCCTTGTCCCAAGCCCCTCCCCAGCTTTCCTGGAGCCCCTTCAGGCACTGGAAGCTGCTCTAAGGTCTCCCTGGAGCCTTCTCCAGGCTGAACACCCCAACTCTCCCAGCCTGTCTCCAGAGCAGAGCTGCTCCAGCCCTCCCATCATCTCCGTGGCCTCCCCTGGACTCTCTCCAGGAGCTCTATGTCCTTCCTTCTGCTGAGGGCTCCAGAACTGGACACCAAGTCTTACCTTGAAAGCTATGGTCTCATAGGG